TACATCCTTCCTATTTTCAGGACTTCGTGCATGGCTTTTAAGGGTTTATCGGATAAATGTTTTTTGTCATATTAAAATTACCTGTTTTAGTAAAAACATATCCCAAATAGTTAAAATGCTTTACTATCTCAATGTAAATTTCATTGTAAGAAAATAGGAGACTTTTGAAAAACGTCCAAAACCAGACACTAATGCTTTGGTTTTTTCAACGTTTATTTTCAACTTCCAAGCCTTACCCTTCTTATGGAAGGCATTGCATTGCGTCTGCAGGTCATGTGTTGATTCGGCCAACAAAACCGTGTCATCTGCGTATAAAATAATAAAAAAGAGATATATTTCTAATTCCATTTCCAGATCTTCTGCTATAGTTTTAGGTCCTGCAATATTTTTACTGAATAAGGAATTTTCTAAGTCGTTCAAAAAAAAAGTAGAAAAGGTGATAAGTTTTCTCCCTGTCGTACACCATAGTCACAAAGAAAGTATTCCGAATTATCGGTGTATCTGTTCTCACTATCTACATTGTATATCACTCTTCTCAGCTCATCATAAAATTGCGTATCACGGCTTTGTGACGTCAAAGACGTTGACCCGGACCTTAATAGCTTTGACCCGGACGTATCGGTGACGTCATACTGAATGAACCGACGTTGATAAATTTGACCCGTCATCTTCCGGTTTACTGATGAAACAAGAAAAACACTTGTGTCTGTCATGCAAAATACACAAATACAATCTAGTAAATCGATTATCATATTTTCTTCATATTGATTATTTTAAATATCAGCTACTCGATACAATTTGAGGCCTTTTTGGACTCGTTCTCCTCGCTCACTTGACGACAGAAAGCTTCATATTGTGACTCGCAGCTAATATTTTATAATATCAATATACAGACAACCTGATAATCGGAACTTACAATTATTATATGATATACGAGATTTAATATCACTGTACATATTCAATATTACCTTGAATTCACTAGTAATTTTGGGGCCCTTTATAGGTTGCTGTCCGGTGTGAGCCAAGGCTCCGTGTTGATAACCGTACTTTGACCTATAATGGTTTACTTTTATAAATTTTGACTTGGATGGAGAGTTGTCTCATTGACACTCATACCACATCCAGAAAGGCGCTTCGGACGCATAAAATTATTAAACGTGTTGTTTTCAATTTTTTATATCTATATAATTATATTATTTATATTATTCAATGACATTTTTATAAAACAAACCATCACGCCATACAGTGTCAAACGCCTTCTCAAAATCTTTAAAGACACAATATAATTCCTTTTTCTTACATTTCAATAATTCAAAAAAAAAAGAATATAAGGTAAACATATGTGACCCGCCATAACATTTCCAGGCTTATATGAGAAAAACATTTACTTTCAAGGTTACGTGTAATTCTGGATGGGGACATGCAAATCTATTTCTATGATAAATTTAGAGTGTGAATACTTAGATAAAATAATAATTGCAGGGACCGCTGGTAATCGTTGATATTTTTTTATCGCATATATGACATCTACAGTGATATTAAAAAAAAATAGATCACTGATTATAGTATGAAAGGCATTCAAATTGGTTAAAAATAGTATAAATAGCAATCAAATTGCACCGTTGATCAGGGCATATTCGTTTTGCTTAAGGAAGTACTTAGGTCAGGTTTAAAAATTTCTGTCAGATGTTCGGACTTCTTGGTTTTTTCCTACGATACAGGGTAAAATATTTTGTCCCATAACACTCATTTTTCTTTTCATATAAGATTTCAATAGCTCTTAAAAAATCATTTACCAAAATTTAAGCAGATTCTAGATTTCTTTTTTTTTTTCGATTTGAGACCTAAATAATACCAATGCAATTATAAGGTAAAAGTCTAAGTCAGCCTTTTCCAGCCATTTTTAAAAATTAGATATCTGGAAAAGGAGCTCCATAACCTATCAATATTTTTAGCTTATTTTGTTCATTAAGTAATGTATAAAACTAAAACTAAAAGCAAAATACAACTCTTCCACTTATACTGTTCTTACAGATATACGGTTGATCGATAAGAAATAACTACGTTGTATTTAAGAAGTATTTGTACATCTTATTTCACCAGGTTTGTACGATGTGTTTAATCGACACTAATCGATATATGATTATTTGATTTTTTCTTTAAAATAATTTCTTTATCTGTATACACAATTTCGAAAGCATGGAAATAAAACGGATTAAAATGAAATAAAACAAAACAACCAACACCCAAGTATATAACGTTAACATTAATTTAGATGCTAAATTCGGAACATGTTAACAAAAACTCTCTGAAAATACCGTGTTTTTATTTTGTTAATTTAAAACATCTATTTATTCTTACTCTAGCTGTGTACTTCAGACGAAATCGAGAGTATCAATATACTTTTACCTGCCAAAAATCATGTAATTCATGAGAGAGAGAGAGAGAGAGAGAGAGAGAGAGAGAGAGAGAGTTATTTGAATTATTCATTCAGTCTGATCGGAGATCCGAATGTAGCTTCCCTTTGTCCAATGACAAAAATTGTTAGTTTAAATATTTTATGTGTTTTTGACCCTCAGAACGAAGCGTTTTCACTATTAGGTCCCATTTTGTATCATATTGATAATAATTATTAAACAGGAGCGCACATTAAAGTATCTGATAATTGAAAAAAAAAAAAAAATCTGTTATGTTTTATATAAAATTAGAAAGTAGAAAAAATGTAACAACAAAGCAGACGTTGACTTATGATATTTGTCTCGTTTTGCAACACCCACCGTAAATATTCATAAGATGAGTAATTGAGTATGCGTTGCTTATGAATACCATTGTGATCATAACTAAGAAAACATCATGATTAATGGGGTGTGTTAATTTTGTTTCATTTGTTTTCCCTTTTCAGAAACGAATTAGAAATAAAAAATATTCATTTAATTGTCCTTAAACAAAACATGAAAAGCGAGATTCGATTTATTTTTTTTTAATTTTAGTTTTTGTTGTTTTCAAAATGATCATCGTTGTACATCTCGTAACACATATATGAACATTTTCTTGATAGTTATAGTATATCTCAGTTAGAAGAGAAAGTGTTTGATAAATATAAAAAAGACTGGTGTACAAGAATTTTTTCATACAGTACTGGTTATAAATTGAGAACATATAAACTCTTTAAACACACTTATAACACTGAACAATATTTACTACAGAAAATGACACTGCGTCATCGTAGTGCTTTTTCAAAATTTAAATGTGGTGTAGCACCATTAAAAATTGAAACTGGTCGGTATGAAAAGAAAAATCTAGACGAAAGAGTCTGTTTTAACTGCAATATTTTAGATGATGAAAACATGTACTTTTAAATTGTCCATTGTATGAAGATCTAAGACATGATCTGTTTATTGATATATTGTGTCATAATGATATGTTTTAAAACTTGTCTGATGAAGACAAATTCATATATATGTTTAAAAATAGCAATATGTGTAATATTGTTGCCAAAACCTGCAATAACATTTTGACAAGGAGAAACAGTATTTTATATCATTAACTATTTGTGGTATTTTATAAAATGAATTGGTATAGATATGTATTTTGATAGTCTCTCATAATTCTTTTAAGGATAGCACATACATATATTTAATTGTTTTAAAGGGGCACTAACTACGAGATATATAAAAAATCTAAAATGTGATTTTTTTTTTGTTCAATCATTAATTAAAGTGATATAGTGAAATAATTATTCGCTTATAGCAGCAACTATGGTTCAATTTTGTCAAAATGAGCGAAGAAACATTGATGATGAATTATTCACTTGCAAGTGAAAATTCGACCTCATTGAATCCATATTTATGTGAACTTCAATTTAACTTAGCTATAGATGGATAACGCATGAATTGTGCATGTTTATTTATTTAAAGGAAAAGAATGTCAAAATTGAAAGTGAAACAAAGGTAAATCATTTGATTGACTGATTCGATCCACAAAAAAATCATTCTTATACAGGTAAAAACGATGATAAACATTTATTCTTAATCTATAATACGAAATTAAACAGACCTAGAAAAATCCAATTGCACGAGTTCGCTTAATCTATTTATACCTATATGTATGTTTACATCGCTTATATGGTCGTCGGAGGTCTTCGGAGGTCAACTCAATAAATTCTTAGATGGCGTCTAGACTAATATACACTTGAAACGAAGTTAGATATTATCGAGCCCACGCCTGGCAAATTGTTTATTTTAGACTTTTAATAGCTTGGATAAATATTTTACATTGTTATAAATCAAATATGAGAATTTGAGTCAAATCGGTGAACATGAATTTGACAGCTAGTGCCCCTTTAAATATGTTTACTGTATATTTAATTATATAATTGTATCTTGTTTTAACTATGTTGTATGTGGTGAGACTTTAATAGACTATTGAATCTGAATCTGAATTTTTATTAATAATAAGAAGTGTTAATATCGATCTTTCAAATTGGTTACTTAAATTAAGTATGTGATGTTTTCAATTAAGGTTACAAGAGTTTACCCTCACGATCTATATCTGAATAAAATATTGTGCGGCTCCTGATTACATGATACAGGATTGGAATTATTACTTATCGAAAGATTAACCAATTAGGTTAAAAAAAACAAACAAACAAACAAAAAACAATTAAATGTTTATCTTACAAAAGAGTGTACATTTGATGTACGATAATGTATAATAAAAAAAAAACAATTGTCCTATTTACTTCCTCAAGAGATAGAACAGCAAAATGTGTATCAGATTTGAATAATTATTCAGACATTGTAAAAAGTTTGTATTGCAAACATTATTTATTTCTTATCATATTCAATCAATTAAGTTTTAACTTGTCACATAAAAAAAACCAGACAATTAAGTAATACTTTATACAATTTGCATAGCAGACAGTTAACGCAATAAAGAGATAATTAAGTGTATGTAATTTGCATAGGAAATAAAAAGCATCACTTGTATATTCAATTTAGCTTGTAAAGACGTGCAGTATAGAGCAGTCAAAATGTACCAGCAAATTGTGGTGTATTATATGTTCACACTTTTAAAGCTTTCTGAAGGTAAGAAACTTGTTTTCCTTATATATCAAATGGATTATAATGATTTGTATGTCAATTACACAAAACAAATAATTTAGAAAGTGATAGCTCTTTTTTATGCCCCATTTATGGGCATTATGTTTTTCGGTCTGTGCGTCCGTTCGTTCGTCCGTCTGTCCCGCTTCAGGTTATAGTTGTTGGTCAAGGTAGTTTTTGATGAAGTTGAAATCCAATCAACTTGAAAGTTAATACACATGTGACGTATAATATGATCTTTCTGATTTTTACGCCAATTTAGAGTTTTCATCCAAATTTCACGGACCACTGAACATAGAAAATGATAGTGCGAGTGGGGCATCCGTGTACTATGGACACATTCTTGTTAGTTATTTTTTTGTTTGTTTTTTTTTTTTGAGTGAACAAAACACTTAACATAGAAAGGCATGTGGTTATTTTACGTACATTTGTTTTTTAACTGCTACACAAGTAATTAAGATGTAGACTTGGGATGAGAACATTTACTCTTTAGCGTACATTTGTTTTTTAACTGCTACACAAGTAATTAAGATGTAGACTTGGGATGAGAACATTTACTCTTTAGCGTACATTTGTTTTTTAACTGCTACACAAGTAATTAAGATGTAGACTTGGGATGAGAACATTTACTCTTTAGCGTACATTTGTTTTTTAACTGCTACACAAGTAATTAAGATGTAGACTTGGGATGAGAACATTTACTCTTTAGCGTACATTTGTTTTTTTACTGATACACAAGTAATTAAGATGTAGACTTGGGATGAGAACATTTACTCTTTAGCGTACATTTGTTTTTTAACTGCTACACAAGTAATTAAGATGTAGACTTGGGATGAGAACATTTACTCTTTAGCGTACATTTGTTTTTTAACTGCTACACAAGTAATTAAGATGTAGACTTGGGATGAGAACATTTACTCTTTAGCGTACATTTGTTTTTTAACTGCTACACAAGTAATTAAGATGTAGACTTGGAATGAGAACATTTACTCTTTAGCGTACATTTGTTTTTTTACTGATACACAAGTAATTAAGATGTAGACTTGGGATGAGAACATTTACTCTTTTACATGTATTCATTAATACGTGTTACAAAGTTAATTTCATCATAGCAGAAAACATATCAATTTTAAAGTCAAATGAATTGTTTAGCATTTTATATTCAGGCCTTCTCCTCAATTGTTTGTTTATTTGGAGAATCGTGTTTTAAGGATGTACACCTCTGAGGAGCCAAAAATTTCAAGAATTAAACTGTTTTTCTTAACCTGGTTTTTGGGTTTATATGACTGTGAAGCAATAATTGGTGAAGAAAACACCATATGGTGGTGCACTTCTTTTTTTGCTTCAGCCCTTTGAAAGTATCCAATTTTTGATAATTTTCCCATTTTTCATCAATTTTTACCTATTTTTGGGCTATTATCGTGAAAAAAATCACAGTTCCACAATTAAACTTTTTTTCATACTTTCAATAAAGATGGAAGTGGACCAATATGAATAAATTTAACTTAAAAAAACTATAGGTAGATGTTAATATAAGAAAGTTTATCATATTTTGATGTTTTTTTGTGTCAAATTAACCATGCTGTAAATTTTGTAAATTTGTGATTTTTTTCTGTTTTAAGAACAAAATGCATATTGTTTCAACTTCTTTGTTATAAATGATTGAAAAAATACATATCTAAGAAATTTGAAAAGTAAAAAGTGATATAGGATGTACACGTTTCTGATGAAAATCCTTTCTTGTACCCCTCACCCATTTGCTCAAAATTTTGGCTAAAAAGACTGACTTGATTGGTAATAAAATATGAAAAATTGATTACTCAAAAACTACTCATCGTAAATACACATTTTTTTCACAGAGTTAAGTTTGATTATAACATTTTTTAAATTCATTGATATTTTCCACTTGTATCACATCTTTTGGAAATAATTCCAGAACGAGATTTCAACGAGACTGTAACGTCAGAAGAATACATCCTTAATGCTAGATATTTTATTGTTTCTGTTAAATTAAAGACAAATAATACGTGTGTTTTATTTTTTTGGATAAATTTATTCACAATAATATATGAATTCCGGACGATTTAGAAATTGGCATGTTGTGTATACACCTTTCCATCTGTGAACACTATATATGTTGCCCACTAGAGGTCCTTATGAGCTTTTTGTTGTTTGATTGCTGTCTTATTGTCGTTAAAAAACCCACATCTAATACAGTTTAAGATCTGTTTTATGTGCGTTTAAATCGGTTTAAGACAAATCATAATTAAAAGGGTTATTGAAAATAGATATCCCTGAAGAATTTTCTTAGAGGAAGACTAGTAGAAGAAGTTTGTGTATAAATTTTTAGTGCAATTAGAAAATAACAACAACAAAAAAGTTTCAATTTTCAATTTTTAACTCCCCCAAAATTTTATATCATTAATTTTGAAGACGTGTCGCATCTAAACAAAGTCTGACTGGTCTCCAACTTACTAGTAAATTGTTTCCCTGTTTGGCACATACCTTAATATAAACCTCATTATAGTAGGGTGCCCAATGTCCAAAAAGTCCTCTAGTTAACGAGTTTAAGTTTACGGATAACACACGGCTGATTTTTTGCACATTATAGGAAAATCGTTATATTTTACAATCATGATTGTCGTCAAAAGTTCCCGTGGTCTCAATTTTCTAAATTTCGTGTTTTTACAGGGTACCACCAGATACCGTATTGTACGGGAAATCTTTAACATGAAAAATAAAATCATTGCATTCTTTGTTGGTAGTTAAAACAGTACCTATAATATAGTTTATGTATTAAATATATCATATAACAAAATCGGAAAGTATTTATGTGATTTTGATATATTAAGTGTTTCAGCATTTTAGTAAGAGTAAAATTTTACCAGAAATTTACCCTGTTTTCATCGACAGCAAAATTATTAAGTGTATCATCACAATTTTTTTTACTCTGATTTAAGCACAGTGCACGTGTGTGCCAAATTACATGCGTGAAATAAAAATCGTTTTGCAGAAATTAGCAATTAAAAACACAAATTAAGTTAACATTTTGGTATTGGTTAAACACGGATTATCTCGTGCCATTATTCATTTTGTTGTTTACACTATTAGGTCATTAACCAGGACAGAGGTCACTCTAAGTATATGTAAGAGAATGATAATCCCTTTCTTCATGATTAAGTACTAGCGTCAGATTATCATTCTCTTACAAACTTAGAATATTGTAAAGTGCTCAAGGCTTAAATGATCTCTTGATTGGTTGTATTTAAGAATTAGTTTCATTGTCAGTGCAATGTTTGTAATTAATGCATGACTTCCTTTTTAGGCATGATTTCATTTATGGATTAGTTTTAGTGATGTAAGGACCTTGTTATAATTTTGGAAAAATATAATAAATTATGTTTTATACATTAGATGACACAACAGTACAATGAAATGGTAAGAAATGTTTCCTGATTGTGAGTATGAATGTAAATCATGTAATATTTTAGCGAGGAATTATCTTTTTGTTTATTTCCATTTCAGATCAATAAATTCATTATTTGGGTTACAAATAAATTTTTTTTTACAGCCAATATTTTAGTCCAGTCCTTTACATCAAATACTACTTCATTATGTCAGGAAAATGTTCAAATACAATGCCTTTAAAATAGTTTAAAAAATATTCAAAAGTTAAACTAAATTCTTTTTTTTAGAATTTTATCAGAATATTGGAAATTACTATTCTCACCAACCGCGGATCCAGTAACCAATGTTACTGCACCAGTAAACTTCATCTAATTTTGATTTTATTTTGTTTGTTTCAAAATTCAACGTTTGGTCAGTTTTAATCACAAATTCTTTCAAGCTGATAAATGTGCTTCGGGGCATTTGTAACTCATTTATAGAAACTCTTTGTTTTGAACTGTAAGTAGGCCTAAACAATAGGATAATCCCTTACTAAGAACCTGATTTCATTCATTCTTCACAATTAAAAAACACCAAATCCTACAATTTCATTGGTCGAGAGCACTTTGCTATATTCTAAACATTTGTCTTTTTTTATTGTTGTGTGGTTGATTTATTTGTTGTGAATAGCCAGCTAACTTTGTAGATTGTCAATTTGTTCGGAGAAATCTGTTTTTAGGCGAGTGACATTTTTCAAAAAGACCCTTAGTTAACTACTTTAATGCACCCACCTAACATACGTCTATATTGTATATCATTCGAAAGCTTATTACCTGTACTTTCTATTTTGCCCGGTCGTCAATAATTCGTACGGTGCAATTTTCGTTAAATCAAAGTTAAAGGTCATAAAGGAATATTCCAAAATTTTGCTAGAATTAAACAAAATGCCCTTTTCTAGTACCTGTATAATATTTTTCATCTTAACATTGTCTGAATCTTACAAAACAAAATACCATAATTCCAAATCAAATGCAAACTTAAATGTTAATTGCGCAATATTTACATAAAATTGCATTTCTTAAAACAAACTTCCAAAAATGATAAAATTGCTCTAAAAGCTAAATATTTCTTCAGGTATCAATATCTATATGTCAAAAATATGTCTAATTTATCGTTTATAGGCCAAGAAAATTTTTGCATCATTGTAAACTTAATCAATATGATATAGGTCTAGATGCAGCCTTCTAATGAAACTTTTGCAGTTGCCCTATAAAAACACCATCTTCAAATATGGATCATTTGGCTTTTCTTTGGCTAGATAATATAGTAAATATCGGAAGAAAATAACTAACCATATTTAAATAGGGGTAATGAAAGTGCTTTAATGAATAAACAAGGTATATATAGTAAAAATGTGTTTCCGATGTCGAAAGACGAAGTTTATTCTCAATCAATATTCAAACGAATACTGTTCGCACAATTCGCCTTTTCAATCACAAATCCGGTTGATTCTTTTAATTTTAGCTCATTATCACATATGTTATATGTTGTTTTACTAAATATGACAGAAAATTAATATTGTGGAAGATTGAATATAT